AAGTAAAATATTTGATTTTGAAATCATTGGATTTGACAGATTATGTGGTCAGTGTCAAGAATTGTGGAAATTTAGAGCCACCGGTACAAAATTCATAATATATCATCTGTAAAAGACAAGAATAGTGGCCTGGATTTTTTGTTTATTTTCAGAAAACATTTGTGGAGATGCAGATGGGACAAGAGTCAAAAAGAAAGGCGGTTTATCTCAGGTCCCAGGCAGCCAGAAATCAAATGCTGTGGTTATATTCTTACCCATTAAGTTACTAAACACACTGTTTTCTTGTACGAATGACAAACTAACGCAAAACACGTGTTAATGATCAATATGCTGGACATGTCGGCCAACATTCCCACTTCCCCCGAAAACTGTTCAGCGAGCAGGTCGAGTGAAGCAATGGGAGATGTTCTCCAGGGACCACTACACACAACACGCACTGTACTCTTGTTGTACTAACTTGGCAGCGTTACTCATATTGTAAGAAAATTACCTGAACTCTGCTCCGGTCGACTCGCTCCGCTACTCTGTCGGTAAAGTGGCCCTCATCTTGAACATCATAATGGCCCCTCTGGAGTCACTTGAAGGGATGCTGATGCGTGGGATCTCCTCTTCCTTTTGGCTCATTTGTACCTTTTTGATGGCTAGTTAGAGAGCGGAGGGAGCAGGTGGAATTACGTTGGACTGAATGGATTTTTTTTTCTTCTTCTTCTTCTTCTAAGGAATGCGGTCAAACCGTGCTGGCGGCGTTTACACCTGGTTGAAATCACAGTGTGAGCCAGGAGCAGCTCGGCCAATTTGCTGACATTCCTCTGTGTGCATTCAGCATCTGCATCGAAATGAAGCCGTCGCTATGCACAGACTATATTTGGATCACGTGCCGACGCTGTGTGGAAACAGGCTCTCACTGAGTACATTCAGGATCCTTAGCGGATGAAACCAGCAGCCGCACCGGTTTGCCAGATTTACATTAGTGCAATCCAGCTAGTTGTTTTCCTGTCAGCCTGCCTTTAAATAAATGGCATCAAGTGCTTTGATAACACATAGTTCATCATTATATTCAATGAAGCACAAACACTGTTAGCTCTAGTAAGGCTGCAACCATATATCCAGGGTTGTTTTTGTGTGTGTGTGTGTTAAATACATGAAAAAAGAAATGCCATTACACACACACACACACACCTCAATTTCTTCCCAGTGTCACTGTGTGAATTTGTTTGTCTACCTGTGTTCAATTGCCCTCGGTTTGATTCCCTCCATCCTTTCTTGAAGCGCTGCTTAATAGCCTCTTTCCTTTCAGAGGAGATTGCATGGACATCTTGGAAAGGGCCAAAAAGCCCAGAGATAGACTGGTTTAGTGCTAAGTCCGTGTACTTAAATTAATCTCACATCACTGTAATGAGTAAGAGAAGGACTCCATGGTGAAATGGTGGGTGAAGAAATAAATGTGGAAAGACAGGCCGTAAGGAGGAAGAGGGGGGAAAAAAAAAAGAGAGACGGCAGAAGAAAAGAGCGAGACTAAATTAAAAAAAAAAAAAAGATTAAAATGTGGGTGATTGGTGTAATGTTGTATTACATTCAGTGTAATGCTTTATAAGGAGTTTACTTGTCACAGAAATACGATGTTTAGTAATCCAGGTGGATTCACAGAAATGGCTGTTATTTATAAAAGGAAACTCATAGAATAACATTGCAAAACATTAAAAGGATATTTAGGTCTACTGTGGCTTCTTTTCCTAAATTAGAAATTAATCAAGATATAATAAACAAGTCTTGGAGTAAAAAAAAAAAAGCTAATTGTACCCAACTGTCAACTGAAAGCCGGTCAGATAACAATTCGAGGTGCAGCCTGATTGTACAAAGAAAGATTTAAAATGTAAAAAATAGATTAAAATACCATTTTGGATGGATTTCTGTTTTGACAAAAGCAGCATTGAGCTTATTTACGACCAGTCGCTGGTATTTTTAGACGTCATGCTGCAACTCTTTTGCCCGTTTCTGGTGAGATTCGCGGCACAACATTCTGTAACGCAATACAAGATGGTAGAACATCGAGCTTTGTCATGATTAAGTACTAAGCTGCTATCAATGCACCAGCAAGACTACCTCACAGCAAAGCCCTCCGCTGAAATGAGGTGATTATGCCCCGTTTGCCACTTGAAGGTGTTGTATTTGCAATAACAAGAGAGAAGCAAATCAGAAAACTGAAAGGACTTATTTAAAAAAAAGAAAATGCAAAATGAAGAAGTGAACGGATGGGACGGTGAGTCGAGGGAAGGTTTAGTTCTGACACAGTCGACATTAAGAAAATGTCAAAGATGTTGCTGGATCTTATCCAACATGCAGGTTGTTCTGTTGGAAAAAAAAAAAATCCGAGAAGTGCTGTTGAACTTAAAAAAAAATGATGAAACGTTCCTTCAGATTGATTCCAGTGTCGTGTGAGCAACTTAGTCCCTTTCTGCCACCCTATAGTGACAAGCCGGCTGATTTTTTTTATTTTACATTTATTTTATTCTGCAGGTGGAAAAGACGGAGCAGCACTCCTTGGAGGATAGCGCCACAGTTGGGGAAATGCATGAAAGGACAAAGTTACCAGTCTCACTTTTCTGTTTAACAACCAATAAGACAGACATCACTGCGGGAGCTGAACAACCGCACGAGCAGGTGAAAAGACGCTTGACACACCTGACATCTGTTGTTCTGCTCCCAGAATACCTTTCGACTGTCGCCGTGGAGGCAGGAACCTCTGATGTCATGTCGCGTTGGAAGCGGTGCAGTATTTGCAAATGCAAGCAGCGTGTTTCCATTTTTTTTTTCTTTTTTTCTAACTGATACATCTAGTTTTGCCAGAACATGAAGCGGCGCCGAGCGCTTTAGAAGGCAGAACTAAATCACCTTTTGCCTCTTTCCATGGAAATATTGCAGGAAACAATCACTGGAAAGAACGAGCCGGGGAAATTATTGTTCTTCATCACAGTCAGGCTCTTAGAGTGCTTTTATTTTTTTTATTTTTTTCTCTCTTATTCTCTTGTGAGGAAAGCGTCTTGGCAGATGACACGCACTTGCAAGTAATTCTCCCCAATGGAAGGCTTGAAAAGGCTGATGGAGGTGCTTTGAGGACGTGCTTTTAAAGGGTTAGTTTGGATTTTTTATTTTAAGTGGGGTTGGATGAGGTACTTACTTACTTCATAGTCAGGATTTTACCTACATGAGACGGTGGTCGGCGTGTTTCTGGTCCAGATGTAGCGCTGTGGACGGCAGCACAGTGTGTTGAAGCCACCTATAAAAATCAATATCAGTTCAAGTGTGCGCTATATTTAATGTATTTTTCTCTTCTTACCTTGCTGGCAGACACCTGTTACCGACGGAGAAGACAAGAATGCAGTCTTACCTTCCTGAACGTAGGAGCTGCTGCTCTGCTGTTGCTTTGATCGGTTCTTTTGATGTGATTTTGGTGTTTTAAACCAACCAAATAAACTAACTGACTGATCAAACCAGCATCAGACCCACAGCTTTTATTTCCAGTGAGGTTAAACTACTGTTTTGCTGCTGCTGCTGGT